GGGGGGGGGCACGCGGGGCAGATGTACCCCTATTGGTCTGCATTTTCTTTTGTCGATATCGGCGAACCCGTCGCTGAGGTGATCCATTTCTAAGTTGCCGACATTTTTGTTTGTTTGGGACAGCTCCCATCTGCGGTTACCATTGGAAGGTTGTTTAAGTTATTTCCCCCGAATCGAACAGAGGCAAAAAAAGAAGTGAAAAGGATCTCTTTAGTTGTGCCTTTGAACAATTATGTGGCTTCTTTTTAGATGATCCGTGGTGTGCAGGTGCTGTTCCCTTGATGGTAACTCCTTAACGCCTCTCAGACTATAATGACGGCCACTTGAATACCTGCTTGGTAGTCTCTTTTATTGTGGTTACCTCACATAATCGGTATTTAGGATGGGCATACTGACATTCCTTGCTATTTTGTGGGGTTTTCTCAACCTTCCCTTTTTTTTGTGTTGTTACACCAAGTTTTTCAGATATGAAAAAATGTTAACCGTAGTGACTGCGGCGTCCGCAACATCCAATCCAGTCCTTAGCATCGACCATTCGGACGATAGCGTTGAGAGCTTAAGCTTTTCAGATAATTCTTCAAAGTATACGAGGAATCTGGATTCATCATAAGTATTTGATTTATTTTTTTTTGGCCAGTCTTCAAATTGTTCCCAGGCCTGAATGTACTTGTTCTCTGTTTTTTTAGGATATAGCTTTACTTCAATTTCTTGTGCTCTCAAGTCGAATAATTTTCTAACCTCTTCTGTATTATATTCATCGTGACAATCACTGTCATTGTCTACCGAAGATAAACTTGACACAATTGATATTGTTTTTAATATTGCACAATATAAGAGAATACCGGGTAATGAGGAGAAACCCTTAACGCCTGATGTGTATGTGTATGACAGTTAGATGAGAGGGCTTTTCGGCGCATGCGTACAATTATATATTCTCCTCTTGTCCAGAGAAGGAAGTTTAAACTTTGCTCACGCTGCGGAATGACCCGTTACAAACTTTACACTTCGCTGGGGTAAAAAATCAATCATTATCCATCAAACGTTAGTTTTTAGCTATCATGGACCTGTAAGCTCCCTGAAAACAATTCACATGGTCGAAATGATTCGTTTATTTAATTCGATGGGCAGCTTCTTGGAGCTCTACCATACTCCAATCCCATATCGAATTACTTCAAGCCACCGCTATTAAGGGGTTATATACAGTTAGGATTTTCAAAAAATCGATTTTTTTTGTGTTTTCTTAATATATACATATCTGAGTATACACACACAAAATTTCAAGTCGATCCGACCAATATTTTCGAAGTGATAGACACATTAGTGAAGGCGTGCCGAGGGATCTCGCAGTAGGGGACCGGCGCGCCAGCCACATACTTGAACAGGCTGCCTACCTGAACCTTGCTACCTCTTTTATCGGAGTTTGCACCTGTCTAGGGCAAATCTGTCTCCTTATTGTATATTCCCTTTCTAATTTTAAATTCCCTCCACCTAAACTGCCAAATATTGAAGAGTAAAAGCCAGTTTAACCACAGAAGTCTAACGGTACGGCTGTGCGCCTTTTTCGGTGAGTTTTTAGTGAAAATGAAGTGTAGCAGACAATTGAGAAAAACCTCGAAAGTGGCGAAGTCAAGACCGAGAAAGGGACGAAATGTTGTCAATCCGAAAACAGCCGAAACGGATGAAAGCAGTTTAAGTGCCTCCGCAAAAAAATTGAAAATGCAAGAGGAAACCTTGGTGCGGCGCAATTCGTCCGTAGAATATCGAATTATTGGAACCATGTTTTACTCAAATGTAAAAACACCATGCTTTACTCAAAATAACAACGAGAGCTACAATCAACTGATATGGAAAATCTCTCCAAACGTACTTGCGGCTGGTTCAAAAACGGTGGAAATGGCTGCATATATAGCTGCTGGCATGTGTAATGAAGGCGCAGCATCACTTCAATATTATATGAAGGCAATGGGGGTTTCAGCTGGGCCCAATGCGCATTTGTATGCCGACAGAGAAGATACATAGCGGATAAGGATCTCTGACTTGAGAGCGCAAGAGAGCACGCGGGAAGGACGAATGGCTCGCAGACAGCATCAAATTGAATTATTAGAAGCTGCTACTGCTGCAGATAAATTATTATATGGCCCTGGAAAAGCGGACTCATTATAAGTTAAAAAAAAATAATTAACTGCATGTAAAGTGCTTTCTAAACTTTAAACTCGTTTTTCTCGAAACGGTGTTTTCAAAGTCGGTGAGCAAGATTTCTCAGAAACAGTTGAATTGATCAGTCTGAAATTTTTACACAAGCTTCTTAACTATATTTTTCAGTAATTCATCGACGGGTTTCCCCATTCGATGAAAATTTCTTATTTTTATAAACAATTAAAGACCCGAATTTTCGTCGAAAATCGAACGTTGTGCTTAAGTAGCCGCCATTTTGTCAAAAAATTTTTTTTGCTAATTCCTTCGCTCAATCACTAGATTATTTATTATATTCATGAAATTTATTTGGTTTTTGCTTCTTAGATGATCCAGTCCAGAGATATCATGCTCACCGCAAGAGACCTTTTTTTTGCGGACCTCTGCAAAATTGGCAATATCAACGTTCCCGATAATTATTTTTGGCAATAAAAAATATGTGAATATAGTTTAAGGTTGTGATAATATACGTGCTAAGTTTCAAATCAATAAACCAAATAGTTTCCTTAGAAAAAATTCTTGAAAAATGCCTTTTTTTCGACCTCCTAACTGTATATAACCCCTTAATGAGTAATTTGAACAATACGATTGATTTGAACAATTTCATTGAACAGGCTGTTCATGAGTGGAAACACACTGTTCAATGTTGTACTTATTGTGACAAGTATGTTCACAATATGTTAAGTTCACTCAAAGGAGGAAACTTAATTCAACTTCTGATATACTTATTGTGTAGTTAAATATATTCAACGTAAAAAGAGAAAATATCGAGCAGAACATCTAGAATTGTAAATTAAAGGCGGTGCCAACAACTCCCATTTCTGTTCTTAGTAATCAGCATTCTGACAATAGTGCTATACTGCATTGTACTATGAAGTGTGATAACTATACCTGCTAATTGAGAAAAAATCAAGATATTTGGGTTCACATAGACGATGCAGTTATTTCAAAAACTCGATGGCCACGGAATGCAAAAGATGTATATTGCGACGTAATTTTGTGATTGGTGATGATAACGTCATCATTTGCCAATCCAAAATAAATACACATGCCCAATCAATGTGAATAATTAATCACGAATGCGCCATACAATTCAGCGATGCTTAACCGTAATTTGCTTATTTATCATTAATGAGAATAAATTCTCAGCCCTGCCTAAAAAATCCAAAACCATTTCCACGTTCAACAGCCCTGAGATAATAGTAATACAAAGATTGCCATTGGAGACGCTAAAGAACAGAACGCCCTTACAAATTGCCGGCCTGAGAACGCACATAGCTGTTACATGCTCTCATATGTCCACGTGTAAGCAGACTTTTATATATCTGTGATCACTCTTAAGTTAACGATCGTGAAAAATCTAGCGCCACCAACGCTAACTAGCGTCGCCAATCACCAATTCGGTTATCGGAAAAAAATCCACTTGGGGCGACTGGCTGTGGCGTAAGTCAATTGCACCTTCCATCATAAAGTACTGTGTAACATAGTGTCGAGACGGAAAATGCTAATTAATCGAGGACATATCTTAGTTGCCACTGTGTCACGCTGTGGCCCTTGATGCAAAATACGCATTGTTACCGATCAATTCATTAGAGGGAAACGCTTCAGTACTTCATCAGTGGATTGCAAGATTACTGAACTGAAGTATTCGAAATTCTCAATTGATTCAACTGAATATGCTCATATATTTCTATTAACATGCTTATATATTTTATTTTGTGAATAAAATTGAGGATATTTTTTGGGAATATATGATGATGCCATAAAACGTCAACTTGGCAAAAATTTCTCACAAAAGTTTTCTTGTGATTTTTGTAACACTTTTCCTGATCTCGTCCCGGAGATGAAGAATAGTTATTACCTTCGCCCGTTCCCACGCCCACATCCTACTCATCCAACTGAATTAATGCGGGCGCCAGCTAGCTTATTATGGGCCAAAGCTAACAAAAACCGAGAGAACGAAAGCGAGGGTGGTGCCCTGCCTGACCCGAGGTCTGTAGACCTCATACATCCCAAAAGATATCCTGAATCGAAAAACAATAGCACGAAGAGACAGGACCAGTGCGGTTGGAACTCGTCCTCACGATAACACAAAATCCAAAAAGCCATAAAATCAGAAAAGAGACACGATCAATCGGCGATCGGAGAAACAGCTCGCGCGAAGCTACGAGGTGGTAACAAACGGAACGGAAGCGGGAAGGTCTGGGGTTGCTCAGGATGCTAGGTCGTGGAGAGAGGGCCAGGGTCCACGAATACGCGAATCTACTAATCCGAAAAGGAGAGACCGCGAAAATACTACGACGCATGGATCGGGACAGCGAGAGGAGGCTTGCGGGAGTCCGAGGTGCGAGAACTAACCTCGAAGACCACCTCGCCGAGAGCACGACGTAAGGTAGCGAAGTGCCCGGTGGCCGAGAGCGTGGAGAGAAACTCGCCCAAATCACACCATCAAGGATGCGGCGGGTTCACTGGGGTAGCGCCAACTATAGAGAACGTATTCCGTAAGGGACTCTCACCCAGAAAACGTCGCGAGAGGGGAGTATTGCTCCCACTCGGAAATCGTTATTAGGGAGAGTGTAGCCCTCAACTATAGAACGTGAAGACCAATGCGGAGCATTACGAGTCTACCAAGGGCTTCAGAGAGAGCTGTCAGTGATTCGCACTCAGAGTCAGCCGAAGCGACTCTGCCGAGTGAGTGGGCAGTATTACCAATGCCCCCTACTCTCGACTACAGCTGTGTGGGCTGCCGTGTGCCGAGACGTGCTGCCCTAGCCTTCGCGTGGATATCCCCGACAATAGGTTCTCCTGGAGGGGGCCGAATTCAAACATCGCCACTGACCCCTTCGGACAACCCCTCCGAATGATCAGCCGTTGAATGCCCCCCCCATCGAACATAGAGCGCTCATACGCCAGTATGAGTCCTATGCTGAATGCCAGGAAGTCTCATAGAGGAACTGGGA